TTTTAATTAACTTTTTACACAATTTGATATGGTTAATTTTAAATTAACTTTTTATACAATTTGATATGGTTAATTTTAAATTAACTTTTTACACAATTTGATATGGTTAATTTTAAATTAACTTTTTACACAATTTGATATGGTTAATTTTAAATTAACTTTTTACACAATTTGATATGGTTAATTTTAAATTAACTTTTTATACAATTTAATATGATTAATTTTAAATTAACTATTTTATACAATTTGATATGGTTAATTTTAAATTAACTTTTTACACAATTTGATATGGTTAATTTTAAATTAACTTTTTACACAATTTGATATGGTTAATTTTAAATTAACTTTTTACACAATTTGATATGGTCAATTTTAAATTAATTTTTTATACAATTTGATATGGTTAATTTTAAATTAACTTTTTACGTAATTTGATGTGGGAAAAAAAATTCCATCCATTAAATATGCTTTAAATATTATTATGACACATTTTTTTAAGCACAGAAACATAGACACTGTCCATTAGTAACAGCAATAAAAATTTCTTGTTTGAAATGTCTTGATGCAATTTTCTTTGCCAATGTTTACTGTTAAAGTCAATATGAAACTTCACAATGTTGAAAGAAATATTTGATTAATATACACATCATACATTATAACGCACCCAACTTAATTTTCATTTAAAGAACAATAAACTGCTTAAAATTGTATTACAAAAAATGTTAATGTAATGTTCAGTTTTTGTACCAAACAGTTTATTTATTTGTTAGATGAATTTTTACCAATTCTCTATAAAAGTTTTTTGAAATAAACATGAAAGTTTTATTTATCTCTTTGTTTTTACAATAAGCTTGCAGAAGAGGTCTAATACTTAATGAATAAAGAATAATGCTTGTATAAAACTCACACACTTAAAGCTAAATAATTACCATGGATTACAATGCACGACTTTTCTTGTCACTCATACTAGCATTTGAATAACTTAATGCACAGTTTGTTTTACATATCTGGGATACAGGCTGTCAGTAATTTGGGGGAAAAGTCTGAGGTCTTATAACATTAAAAACTTCGTTTTGATATCTGCAGTGGGTACAGCACAAATAGCCCATTACGTAGCTTTGTGCTTAATAAACAAACAAAATCAATAAATGAGGCATATACATTTTTTTCTATTGCTGCAGCTTGAAAGTTAAAAATAATTAATTAAGAATATGTATACATATGCTCTACATTATGCTTTGAAAATAATATACATTTCTATATAAAAAAACTTCATACTGTACAGTATCTTGTGTTTTATAAAGCCACAATTTATCTTGTTTATCTAATATACTAGAAGTTTCCATAATAGCAATTCAAGTACGTTGAAGCTATTTTAATAAAACAGCTATTAACACAAACAATAATGGATTTATCAAAGAGATACTTTAAAACTAAAATTTAAGTGTCCAAAATCAGTCTTATTATACACATTATATATTTACTCTACACACAAGTTGAGTTTTAACACATATGTGGGAAGATACACTGTGAAAAAAATAACATCATGGATTAAAACTAGTCAAGGTTTCATGCAGCTGTTTGAGAATCCAGCCCACAAGAACACCTAAATTTTTTGATCGACAAGAACAACAGCTCTAATGGCCACATTACAAATGTTGGTGGAGAAGTGTCAGTGACTCTATGTGCAGCACAGATAGTTTTTCTGTTTCTGTGGTTTTGGTGCACCTAAACGTTATTAATTGAAAGCACCATTCCATATTTAATATCTGTGATACAGTAAATAAATTTCTGTGATACAGTAAAAACTTACTTCTGCTTCTTTTACTGCTGTGTTTTCCTATACAAATGAAATGGGTTTTTGAAATATAGTATCGACATTACACAACATGCAAACTTCCACGACATTTCATCTGTTTGTCAATAATAAAATAAGATTTGTTCATGTTTTAAAGAAGAGTGTTTCCTATGGTAGGATTGAACCTGCAATACTCTGTATATTACACTCTGACCTTAACCATGAGGCTACACTTCAGGTTGTATAAAAGGCATGTTTCTAATGATGGACCTTACCAGCTGCATGCTTTGTCTGGAGAGAAAGTGAAAAGTTAGCCCATGCTAAAAACAAATTGGGCAGTAGCAAGTACACACTAAGCATATTATATTATTGACTAATCTAGGATTTGACAGACAGTAGCCAAAACCAGAAAGATTGAATGCACAGTTCATATAGCAGTGTATGATCTATGCATGTGTGTGAAAAATGTCAAGTTATAAAAAGACTCTACACATATAAAGTGGAAATATCAGACACAATCCAAGTTAGAAGAAACGGCTGGGGCAACCTTGGCTAACACCAAGCAAGTAGGCACATATAAAGTGGAAATATCAGACACAATTCAAGTTAGAAGAAACGGCTGGGGCAACCTTGGCTAACACCAAGCAAGTAGGTACATATAAAGTGGAAATATCAGACACAATTCAAGTTAGAAGAAACAGCTGGGGCAACCTTGGCTAACACCAAGCAAGTAGGCACATATAAAGTGGAAATATCAGACACAATTCAAGTTAGAAGAAACGGCTGGGGCAACCTTGGCTAACAGCAAGCAAGTAGGCACAACTGTAAAAGCTTTGTAGACTACGGTTGCCTCAATTGTTTCTTCTAACTTGGCTTGTGTCTGATATATCAACTTTACATGGCTGGGCTCTGTTTATAAATTAACATTTTATCACACTGACAATGTTATAGATTTAATAGACACAAGCACGCTTGTGCTATGTAATACTGTGCTTTTTCCAATTTCAACAGTAGAACCAAACTAAAGCAGAAAGTATTTGAATGTCATCAGAAGTTAGTGTGCATTTGAAAATGCCTCTCTGCTAATAAAGATATACTTAGATCAAAACAAAATATTTTATGATTTCTTATTTTATTATGTTTTGCTGCAGTAATGAGTTTGGATTAACTTCTTTAAAATATCAAGACTATAGAAAAATCTTGTTTCAAACGGTCTCAGTATTAATGACAATATGCTGAATAATTTTGTTGAGGTATAAAAAACTTTCAAGGCTTCAGTCTTACCTGGATGTCCAAGTAGTGTTTCAACGATTTGAGATATTTGAATGTTTCCAGTTGAGTCTCAAGCTGAGCAGCACATTGAGAAAACTCTCTATTCATCTGTGATAACATGCATATCTGTCTCTAGATTTAAGAAAAACCATTATTAATAGAAATATGTAAGTGTTGACTAGTAACGCTAGTGGGTTTGTGTACCCTGTAAGTACTGACTAGTAGTACTAGTGGGTTTATGTACCATGTAAATACTGACTAGTGAAACTAGTGGGTTTATGTACCCTTTAATTACTAACTAGTAATACTAGTGAGTTCATGTACCCTGTAAGTACTGACTAGTAAAACTAATGGGTCTATGTACCCTGTAAGTACTGACTAGTAATACTAGAGAGTTTATGTACCCTGTAAGTACTGACTTAGTAGAATTAGTGGGTTTATATACCCTGTAAGTACTGACTAGTAGAACTACTGGGTTTATGTACCCTGTAAGTACTGACTAGATACACTAGTGGTTTTATGTACCCTTTAATTACTGACTAGTAGCACCAGTGGGTTTATGTACCCTCCAAGTACTCTGTACCCTGTAAGTATTGACAAGTAGAACTAGCAGGTTTATGAACCCTGTAAGTACTGACAAGTAACACTAGTGGGTTTATATACCCTGTAAGTACTGACTAGTAGTACTAGTGGGTTTATGTACCATGTAAATACTGACTAGAAGAACTAGTGGGTTTATGTACCCTGCAAGTACTGACTAGTAGTACTAGTGGGTTTATGTACCATGTAAATACTGACTAGAAGAACTAGTGGGTTTATGTACCCTGCAAGTACTGACTAGTAGTACTAGTGGGTTTATGTACCATGTAAATACTGACTACTAGAACCAGTAGGTTTATGTACCCTTTAATAACTGACTAGTAATACTAGCGAGTTTATGTACCCTGTAAGTACTGACTAGTAAAACTAGTGGGTTTATGTACCCTGTAAGTACTGACTAGTAGCACTAGTGGATTTATGTACCCTGTAAGTACTGACTAGATACACTAGTGGTTTTATATATCCTGTAAGTACTGACTAGTAGAACTAGTGGGTTTATGTACCCTGTAAGTACTGACTTGTAGCACTAGTGGATTTATGTACCCTGTAAGTACTGACTTGTAGCACTAGTGGATTTATGTACCCTTTAATAACTGGCTAGTAATACTAGTGAGTTTATGTACCCTGTAAGTACTGACTAGATACACTAGTGGTTTTATATATCCTGTAAGTACTGACTAGTAGAACTAGTGGGTTTATGTACCCTGCAAGTACTGACTAGTAGTACTAGTGGGTTTATGTACCATGTAAATACTGACTAGAAGAACTAGT